CTCTTTAAGCATGCTGCACTTTGGGAGACAGGTTGTATTTAAGTGATTTCTTGATTCAACAGGTCTGGCAGTAATCAGGCCTGTGTGTGGCTAGTGAAATTTAACTCAGCTTTCTAAAATGATGTGGTTAATCATAGTTCTTTCATGATTTAAGAGGAGGGGCAAATAATTTTTCACGTAGGGCCAGGTAGGTTTGGACAGCTTTTTTCCCTTAATAAATGAAATTATCATTTAAAAACTGCATTTTGTATTTACTTGCATTATCTTTGCGTAATATTAAAATTGGTTTGATGATCTGAATCTTTTAAGTGTGACAAATATGCAAATAATTAAAAAAACAGGAAGGGGACAAAAACCTTTTCACGGCACTGTATATATATAAAAAATACTTTTTTAGCCTATCTGTGAGAAAATCAACTATAAAAGCAAGATTCTGAGAAAACACACGGAAGGAAAAATAAAAACACATCCTTCCTCCAAAACATACCAGGCTCCTCCAGCCACCTGACATCAAACCCGATAAACACTGTTAGCTGATGGGAAAATGCCTCCATCACAACTCTCAATGGCATTACTCTGTATAAAGGCTGTTTTTACCAAGAACTCCATTGGTCTGAAGGAAAGTTTTTGCTATGAGTGTCAGGAGACGAGCTGTACACATTTACCAAATGCACAGTTCAGCTGCAGATAACCTATAAAAATTACAACTAACAGAAGAAAAATAATGGTCAATTTATTATTGGACTGTTTTAATATCAGTGCATTAAAGCCAATAACCCTAAACGGTAACACAGATGTACACAATGCCTTGACTGACTGGTCTATAATTCTTTCACAGCCTGTCGTAAAGGTATATAAAAAAGAATGAATAACACAAAAAGATTGGGTTGTGTTTACTTTCACCTAGTACAAAAGATAAAAGAGGAGAGGAAAGCAAACAAGAGGGAAAGGGTCAATCTAGGCCATAACAACCGAAGCAAAATACCCATGATTCCTGTGCCTCTGGCGGGAAGAGAGATGAGTATAAGAACACACACATAAGCATACAGGCGGCTAGATGTAGGTCACAGACATGAGTGTGTATGTGTGTGAATGGGTGTTATATAATCTAGCTGACGATCCAACTGCAGATCTAGACAGAATGAGACAAACAGTCACTCCTACATGCCTGCCATTACAATGATTGTTACAGTCACCGAAATGTGCAGGTGCACATGAATGTAAAAATCCAATTATAAAAATAACTGATTGTTTTTGAGCAAACAAGTGATATTGGCAGTTGGTTTATGTTACTGGTTAGTATGTGGGGAGTCATATACAGTACA